TGTGATAGTTGCGCTCCTTGAGAGGTTGAAAAACCAGCCTGGATCGCTCCAGAAGGTAAGTGCGAATCTTGGCGCCAATGATGTTGGTCTTTTCGTCAAACATGATCTCGATGTACTTGCCGAAACGTGAGGAGTTGTCGTTACGCGTCGTCTTTGCGTTGCCGAAGGCTTCCATGATTGGGTTCGTAGCCAAAATCTGCTCTTCCGTCTCGCTCATAGCCTCGGCTCCCTTCTTGGATCGCGTTCCCGGGTTGTCAGGGGATTCTCTGGTTGCGAAGTAGCGCATGATGTACTTTGCGCTGACTGTCTTACCAGCACCAGACTCGCCCGACACAACAACGGTCTGGTTTTTGCCGCTCCGCACCATGTCACTGCGCCGCGTCAGCAAAGGCGAGGTCTATTGAACAACTGCAGGGTCGCTCACATGAAAGCCTCCTCAGCAATAGCGAACAGATGCGGTGCTTGTGTCGCCCTCTGTTTGCCCGCATATACCTGGACCATGCCGGGCACGTAAAGAGAGTCTACTCTAGCGAACGGGTTCGCAGCAATCAGGACGATACCACTGTATGTATAAATCTCTTTCTGTGCATATCGAAGACGAATGGCCTGCAGGACTGGTCGAAAGGAGTGGGGTTAGCACAGCGGCCAGGCCAAGGCGTGGATTGTGAAGACAGTACCGGCAGGCTCGTTGAGATGGGACAAATTCGTCAAATCGTCGCTCGCTTCTAGCATGGTCGGGTTCATGAGCGGGGGTAAGGAAGAATCGCCATTCTGAAGGGCCTCGACGGTGACGTCTATCGTCTTTTCCTACAGGCAAGTCAGCAACGGGCATAGAGTGACAGCATCTGTGACAGAGTTCAAGTCAGAGATGTGGAAGAAGAAAACTTACCTCGCCGCTGTCAAGCTTAAAGACCAGCTTGACCTTATTACCGTCGACAGTCTTGTTGACAACCTCGGACGCGACCCAGCCCTCGGTGGCATCGGGCTGCCATGCCCTCGTACCGACATCGTAGTTCTGAGACATTGGGGCGGAGTGAGTAGATGAGAATGAATTCGAGAGGATTGTTGACGGCAGAACTAGTATTTCCCAGAGGAGTGGCGGATGGGGCGAGACAAGTCTAGGGGTGAAAGCTCGAAGGGGCTGGAGAGATTCATGGGCGACCGGGGGGGGGGAGGAGCAACTGGGTGTTGTGGGCGAGCTGCTAGACTCTGGACGCAATGGTCGTCTGGAGATAGATGGTTGTCGCAGAAATCAGGTCGAGACTCGGACGATGGAGGCTAGGAGACGGTGTCGATGGGAAGAAACGGGCCAGGAGGGCGAGCAAGGCGGAGAGGAGAGTGTATGCCGGCCGAGGTAGCAATTGATAGCTGAGGAACGACGCGAAGTAGATCACGACGTGTGGTCTGGACGAGTCGGGTATATGTCCAGATTTGTGGCCAGTTGGGCGTAGATTGCACGCAGATGCCAGACGTAGGTGAGGGTTGGTAGATTATTGGCGGTAGGGAAAGGAGGATAGCCGGCCTGATGAACTGGACAACTTTTTGAGGTTCCAACAGACAGGGGCTCCAAGTAAAAAACGCCAGGTGAGAACGGCCGGGGGTTGAGAGGAGCGAGCGCACTGATACTAAGGATGCGTGAGAGAAAGAGACGGGGGAGACGAGACTGGGAGCCTCCACACGCGTCCCCATCAGCCAGGCTGCTGCAAGAGTGATGTCTTCAGGGGATGGAAGCAACAGTACTGCGGTGAGGTACCTTTCGACAGCAAGAATACCAACCTACCTTACCTAGGTAAGGTAGGTACCTAAGGTACCTTGAAAGTAGGTAGGTAGGCAACAAATGCCACAGCCAATGCTTTGTGTGATAAAAGTTGGGTCAGTGTGTTAGCGTTGCAGGCACTATGGCAGCATGGGAACTGAGCGTGCCCGCAGTGACTGTGGTCCCCTATCCTGATGAGTGAACGTGCCAGAGGTGCACCTCGTTGCAGGGGGGTTGGTTGCATTACGGGCAATATTAGGGGAACAGAGGAAGCTAGCAGCAGCAGTCCAGTATCTTACAGCAATGTTGCGTCTGATCAACACTACCTAGGTACCCTTTGTTGCTGCGACACCTACCTTAGACAAGTAGGTATCTTACGTAATGGAGTAGTTCTCCTGTAAACCAACACTTAAGTCCTAGGTGGATATGACTAGCCTTTGTTTTGCTCAAAGTACCTTTCCCTCATCTTCTACTACCTAGACTTGCCTCAGGTGAGGTGAAATCCGCAGCTAAGACGCACCCTATGCACGCAGTACGGATACACCTTTGAGCGCTCTCAAGGGCGGGAAAGGAGACAGATGGGATTGCTTCGAAGCAGACAGTGCGGCGGCATGTGAAGGGCACGGCCGCTGGATGGGCTTCTGCTGTGTCTTTACTCTTCTACTTTTCTGCAAGGTTCCTTTGGCCCTTTGACCAACTGTCTCTAGCTCTGCTGTCTACCAGATGGGCTTACAATCATAATGTTTTGGCTCCTGTTTGACGGATTTTGTCCCTAAAATGGTCTTCATTGGCGTCTTTGTCGTTTTCTTTGATGTGAAGACGGATGGGCTAATGGAAGGTTGGTGGCTGTCAGGCTTGAAAGGACCCGACTCAAGGCCTCGGAATTGTCTCTTGACGAGCTTGACTCGACACCGGTTTTTCGGCTTGGTGTCCTTTGATTCTTCTGAATTACAAGATTTGGCTCGTTGCCAGTTTATAGAGAAGCTCTGTTATGGCCGATTATATCCATCCACTTATTCTTGATCAGTGGCCATCGCTGACAGGAGAAGGCTCCGAAGCCCAAAGATCACCCAAGGCGTAGTTAGAGTCAAAAATTCAGATATTTCGACGGGAAAACTTGAGGCTCAGAGGTTAGTTAGCTGGCTGCTAAGCCAGACGAAACAATCGACGCTCTTAAGCTTCTCGCACTAGCGCAAGATGCCCTGCATCAGGTGTGTTCTTCGTGGCGTAATGATTTCTGCTTCGTCGCTCGTTACCTCACCTCTTTCCTATTATCCGATTTCTCTCATTGTGTCTATGGTGAAAATTTGGGGATTGGGCTTTGTGTGTCTGAGCGAGGCAAGCTTCATCTCATCTCTTCATCGAGCCACAAACGGAGTCTGTGACTTCGTCGCCAGTTAGTCAGGGCCAACAGCAAGCAGGTTGTACATGACTGTTGCTGGGGGGGCCCAAATACAGCGTTGGAACGCACAGTGTTTCTCTACTGTCCGCATGGCTGCTGGCTTCTCCCCCCTTTTGTCTCCGCTCTTTGCTCTTCAACCCCAGCGGCCGGTGAAGGTGGATAGCGGCCCCCTACCCGCTTTGCTCCCAGTGTATTAAACTGCAAATTTCATCCCCCTCTCCAGCAAGGTTGGGGCAGGGTCTTTGTCCGTTGTTCCCAATATTTATCATCATGCCATTGCAATTTTGGACATACGTATCTGCTGTTGCTGCTCAACTAGCCAACGGAGATGTGACTTGTTTCCTACGCGATTGACTGGTATCGGGCTAAGGGCCATCCGCCGGTCCCCATTTATCGGACGTGCACTCCATTTCCCTGTCCGGTGTTCTGGTCGCCTGGCGAAGGCTAAGCCAAAGACGGCATTGGTTCAGGCACCTGAAGATGCTTTTGAGTATGAAGAATTCATGCTCTCTGGTGGCTACTGGGTCCGGCGCCGGCCACTGGACCGCTGCACACCACAATTTCCGAGGCATAGACACGCCCCGCGTACCGCATGTCCTTCACTCACCGCCTTACTGGCCCGCCGTATACAGCCGCGTCCAGTGTGCAAGGCTCAAGCAGAAGCACAGCATGCCATGCCACTCCAAAACAGCGTATAACCTGGAGACTTAACTCTGACCTGATCCTTGACCAAGTAGCACCATTAATGTCGCTCGCAAATTTGCTTCACAGAGTGCGTAACTACTCCTTAACGTCGATCTCGTTTTAAGTATCCTCTTCTACCCTTTAAGCCTAGCTATATCTAATTTAATGAGGTTTACATTATACTATAAAAATTCTATTTATACTTTAATAAATACTTACTATATATTATAATACTATTTATAATAACTAAAAAAGCTATAATTTAGGTTTATAAGAATATTATTAATAATTTCAATAGTTTATAGATAACTTACTATACAAAATTATATAAAAAGAAGAGTATAAACTTATTCTTTTTCTATTTATTAAATATCCTTAATAAAATTAACTTATTATAATTAAGCTTATTAGAATATTTATTATTAAATTAATAAGTTAGAAAATAAAATAGAGAATTAATTTTATTATTCTTATAAAAAATATAAATAAAAGTTCTAAAATAATATTAGTAATATAAGTTTTAATATTAGGTTCTGAGATAAATTTAGGGATAAATATTACTAGTAAATATTTGTTTATTAAATTACTATATATCTCCTCTCTAAATTTAGTAATATTAAAAAATATTAATATTTATAAATAAAATTAAAAGAATCTCTATAAAAAGTTTAAATATAATAAGAAAATAAAAGAAGTTTAAGATAAATTTAATAAACTAAATAAATTTAAAGAATATAAAAATGAATTGATTATAGCGATTACTATAATCCTCCCTAATTATTAAAGCTAACTAGGGAGCGAGAAGCGAAGGGGGAAGGGAAGGAGGAAAAGAAGGGAGAAGGGAAGGGGGGTAGTTACAAGGGTAGCCTACGTGCTAGCAGAGTTTCCAAAAAGTACACTTTAATACACTATGTCACTTCACAGTGAATCGTTTTAAGTATCCTATTCTTACTGCAGACGCAGCCATGCTTCTACCCTTTTTCTATGCCTTCAAGTTGATGTGAACCCGATACTCCATAATCGAAAGCGCTTAGGCGCCTCCTGCCGACATGTTGAAATGCTGTCGCAAATGGCAGCAGACGTCAGCTGCCACTATGATGTCCCAAAGTCAAATTCTCCATTCATAAACGCCTCCAAATGCGATGCGCTAGACTAGCTCTAGTACAAGACACGGGTCAAGATACGAGCTGTGACAAAGTCAGCATGGATCATGTCGAACAACTCGGGGGAAGAGGGGAGAACACTCACAGCTTAGAGCGTCGAGACTGTCTGAGATATCCTTGATGTCCTCCCCCTTCACATCGCTGACGTCAGCCATAAGGTAGGCGATATCACCCTTACTGTCAGTAATTTGCTTGTCGACGTTGTGGTTGCCCAGAATCTCATTGACTCTGCGCAGAACACCGGGGATGTTGCGATGAATATAGATGACACGAGCGTGGTCGGGTTCGTCAAGAGTCAAGGATCTCAGGTTCACTTCAGGCAAGTTCACGCTGTTCAATGTGATGCCCTGGTTGATGTAGCGCACAAGAGCCTCGGCAACTGTTCACTTGTGAGCCCGGCGAGGAGTAACAATGACAGTCTTGACAACTTACCTTCCACACCAATTGCGCGCTGTGCCTCCTCAGTGCTTCCACCGATGTGCGGAGTAAGAATGATGTTGTTCAAGTTGCGCAGATCCTCTCCCCAGGCATTAAGAGAGCTGTTAAAGTAGTCGCCATTGGCGGCGGGCTCATTGGGATAGACGTCAAGAGCAGCGCCAGCAATCTTGCCAGAGCGCATGGCGTTGATGAGAGCCTGAATGTCGACAACAGTGCCACGACTGGCGTTGATCAAATAGGCACCGGTCTTCATCTTCTCCAGTTGAACAGCTCCAATCATGTTCTTGGTTTCGGGCAGTTCTGGCACGTGGAGGGTCACGAAGTCCGCCTCTTCTAGCAGGCTGTCCAAAGTCGGCACCTGTCTCGCAGTACCCATGGCCATCAGATTGACAACGTCGTAGTAGACAACATTCATTCCCATTGCTTCGGCCAAGACGGACAATTGGGAGCCAATGTGGCCGTAGCCGACGATGCCTGGGAGGGAGTTAGAGTTCACGTTGCTGCCAGACCTGAAATGGGATTGATGTACCAAGTGTCTTGCCGCGGATCTCCCAGCACTTCGCGCTGACCTTATTCCAGGTGCCGCGGTGCATTTCGTTCGAGCGGTCGCCAAGCTGGCGGGCCAAAGTAATAATTTCCGCAATGACGAGCTCAGCCACACTGCGAGAGTTGGCGAAGGGAGAGTTGAACACGGCGATACCATGGGCAGCGGCGTACTCGAGGTCGACCTGGTTGGTGCCGATGCAGAAGCAGCCGATGACAAGTAGGTTCTTGGCCTCACGAAGTACTTTCTCGGTCAATTTCGTCTTGGAGCGAATACCAATGACGTGGACGTCCCTATTGTTTAATGGTATGAGTCGCTCAGGTTTTACTCTCGAATTCACAATCGTCTATCGTAAAAGGCATTGCCTACCGAATTTTCTCAATGAGCTGATCCTCGGGCAAAGACGTCTTCAGAGCTTCAACCTGGTAGCCCTGTTCAGTAAGGATGTCTTTGCCGGTTTGGTTGACGTTCTCGAGGAGCAGAATCTTGATGTCCTGGGTGTCGAAAGGCTTCAGGAGCTTGGGGGCGGGCCTCCTGGCGAGAGCAGGTCCGCCAAAGCTGGAGGGAGGAGAATGAAACGTAGCAGTAGGGGAAGTCGAGAGACCAAGGCTGGCAGAGACTTCGAGCTGCTTTCCGAACGCTGAGGCGCCGGTAATATCCTGTGCTGAGGCCATGTCTACGTATGGCTGCTGAAGTCCTAATGGCTGAGGCGCGTGTGGCGATGGAGGGGTGATTGGGAATTTTTGATGCGGGGCAGAATAGGCCGATATGCAGCTCGGTTGAGGGTGGTGTCGTGAGGGCCGAGGGGGAGACAGAAGACGACAGGTAATGTATTCAGCTCGGAAAGACAAGTGCTAAAGCTGGTGGCGCGGCATTTAAAGATGGCACAACGCTTCGTGATGTGGTCCGGGGAAGAGAAGTTTTATATTCATGGAACGTTCTCAAAATGACGCGGGATGGCCCAGTGGTGACCGAGGCGGGAGAAAAAAAAAAAGAGTACGTAGTGCGTCTACTCCTACCTTACCTTACCTCAGCGCTGCAAGTTGCAGCATTTTACTGGCTGCACACGACTGAGAGCATTCCATGGCCATAGAGGTACCTACGTGCGCTATGTAATGAGCACGGTACCCGACAGCACATCCATGGATGTGTTTTACGTACTATGACTGGACAGGCGCATCCGCAATCGCAGCCGCAGCCAGCTGACATGATGCTCGGTGCGGGCTAGCAGATGCGTATTGCGGAAGGTACAGTAAAGGGCAGACCCCGAAGAGTGGATTTCGTCTCCGGGATCCTACCGCCACGTGTGGACACGGATCTGATACGGTGCGGATGTGGAAACTGAACGCGCCATGTGCATGCAAACGCGGCGTCAGGAGCCATGAATCAAGTACCGGGAGTTACTCACACAGTGCTATGCCGACTACTGTGACAGCGGAGTTCTACCGGCAGTCGGTCCATCGCAAGCACGCCATGGGAACGGCACCGAGTCCAGTACGCCGGCGCCTCACCGCGGCCCTTGTCCTATTTCCCGCTGTTTGACACGACTTGTGCTTGAGTCACTGAGACGGAAAAAATACAGAGAGGGGAGAAAGAGGAAAAAAATCTTGCACCCCTCCAACGCCGGCACGGAAGCGTCATAACGGCCCAGAGCCGCTCTGCGTGGGTCACTGGAAATAGAACAGTCAACGCATTACGGATACATGTCGTGTATTAATGCTTGTTGGGCCCGACGTGCCGGTTACGGACAATTTTGTCGTTCCACTTTGCTGAGGCGATTCAAGGCCCAATCGCCATGCATAGCCGCAAAGTCGTGACCCGACTTCCAGCATACTGGGTAAGGTAGGCTTGTGTTGTCTTGTCAGCCCGATCCAACCTCCCGCGACGCAAGTTCCGCTCCCAACAACTCACGGAGCTTCCTTCTTAGTCGCAGCCGACAGCAACTTCAAATGACCCAGCCATTCTTAAGCATGGCGTAGATCCCTTGCTCAACTCCATGGCCTTCTCCTCACCGTACTCTATCTGGCCGTCCAGTGACCATTCAGTTTGGAGCACTATGGGGGGCTGGGTGAACCCCTCCGATTGACAGTCACACGGGATAAAACTTTGGGGACCCTCGATTGACCCATGCTTACTTGTGTGTCTCTACTACCTCCAATGCTAGCCCCCTATCCGTTACAAAACAAAGAAGAAGAACAAACTCAGAAAACACCCGTTCTACGATCCCCGTTTCAGCAGCAACATACAGCATCATTCATGGCCAGGACGTAAATAGCCGTGTCTCTCGGAAGAAAAAGAAAATCGGCGACCGAAATGTCAATTACCATCTATCAAGCAGAACCCTTCTGTGGTTTGCTGCTTGGCCCAAACCTCGTAATGCTGAGGTGGCGCGCAGTATAGACATCGCCACCTCTGTGGGTGCGGAAAGCACTCGTTGGAATAACACATTTTCCTCAAGTCCCGATCAGCATGGATGCCAAGAACCTATCAACAAAAAGTGACTTATGCCTGCATCGCTCAGCTCTGCTTGCACTCAGCCGCCTCCTGCTTAGGTTTGCCGGTATCGTCCTGTACGCGATAGTCAGCTCTGTTACGCAGGCCAGACATGGGCTCGGCTATCAAAGTCGCGGTAGCACTCACCTCGTCCTCAGACTCTTCGTCTTCGTCACGGTCCTCGCTAAGATCGTCGTCATCGTCGTCGTCCTCGTCGTCGAAGTCACCCTCCAAGTCATCATCGTCCAACTCCTCAAAGGCCAGAGCTTCGCCGGTAAACCAGTCGATGGCACGGGGGATGAGCTTCTCCTTGATGTCCTCTCCAAGCTGGTAGTCAAGCTCAAGGCGCTCCTCGATGTCAGAAGCGGCGTCGTCGTCCTCCTCCGTGGGGGCCTGAGGAGGCGAGAAGAAGTTGAAGAAGGACTCGGTGGGAACCGTCTTCTTAACGATACGAGTCTGCTTCGTGTCTGTTACAATGGTCAGCGGCCGATTCTTGTATTCCGGATACGCGCCTTCCAAACTCACTCTTGTTCCTCTGCTTCTTGCTCTCGATCCGAACAGTGAGATCCTTGCCTTCCTTCCAATCGATTTTGTCACCTTCGGCATGATCATAGATGAAGTCACCACCGTAGCCGCTCTCGCTCTGGTAGAAGTAGGTTTTGGTGATGGTCTTGTTCGTGAAAAACTCGTTCTCGGCAAATTCGAAGATGAGGCGGAAACCAGGCTTGTCGAGGTACTCCATGCGAATATCAACGAGGTGCTTCAGGGCGGCCTCATCACGGTCGGTAATCATCTCGGCAAGAGAAATTTGGTTCTTCATGGCAGACAGCCAGAACTCGGGGATACCAGAGACGTCGGATGATTCGGTAGACTTATCCGTCTTCTCGGCGTCCTCGGGCTCCTCGTCATCATCCTCCTCCTCGCCGGCCTTGATCTCTTCCTCGGAAGGCTCAGAGCCTCCGTTCACAATTTTGGCACGCTTCTCGTAAAGAGGAGTGAACTTGGCGAAGTACTTCTTCTCCAGCTGGAGAACCTCCTCCTGAAATTCGGCCTCGAGCTTGGAGTGCTCCTTCTGAATGCCCTTGAGGCCAGCGACACGGCGGCGCACCTGAGGAGGGAGGGACTCGATGTAACCGGAGGAACGGCCGACGAGGGAGCCAAGTCTTCCCTGGATCATTTGAACGAGCTTTGGGTTTTGGGCGAAGATGGAGGCAGCAGCGGCGCGATCAAGATCCTCTATGACGGAGAATTGCAAGTTAGTTATCATCCGATGGAGGGGTATGGGCGAAGCCAAATGGCAGAAGAGGGGCACATACCCTCCTTGATGCTGTCAACGCCGGGCTGCTGGGCGTGCGAGGAAATGGGCGCATTCTGAAGGGGGGTATTCTGCGGCGTACTGAGTGCAGATGGTGATCGTTAGCCATCACGAGGACACAACTTTTTGTCGCCGAACACTGCGAGCGAGAAGCGAGGGGTCGCCACCCAGAACAAAGTGCAGCCGTGGGGGAGGTCAGATACTTACGGCGCAGTGGCCGGGTCGAGGCGCTTGTTGCGAATAGGCTCAGCCATGATGTGCGATCGACTCTGAAGCCTGTGGAAAGAGACGATGGAGTGAGGGTTGTCGAGACCGAAGGGGATTGGGATTGGGATTGACGGGGCAAAAACAGGAAGACGCCGAGGGTGGGAAGTTGTAGATGCCCAGTCAAGTCTTATTTTGGTGGGGGGGCGGCAACTGGCAAAAAAATTCTAGGAGCCAGACTTTGTCCTTCGTTCGTTGGGGCGGGTACCGCTGCTAGGCGCCTTCCACGAGTAGAGAGTAAGGTAGTGACTAGTGGACGGGGTAGTCGACAGCGGGCGGGCTCCAATGGACATCACATGGCGGCCTGTTCTACTGATGGCCATCCTCCACTTAGGTAAGGCAAGGTAACTTACCTACCTACCTTGTAAGGTGGGCAAGTATCCGTACTAAGGTACCTAAGGTAGGTAGGTGCAGTACAGTGAGGTAAGGTGGTTTGTATGGCAGGGTGAAAACATTGGCGGGTAGGGAACCAGGCGCTGGGCGGGCATTTGCTGAAGCCTCAGGCCAGGCCGTTGTCTTTCCTCAGTAGGTACCAGGTAAACACAACTACCTGGCAGCGCAAGCCCTCGTCTGAACGGGGGCAAGACGTTGATACCTACTCAGGGCTCAGAAAGCGGTAAAGACTACGAATGCACACCCCGGCCCAGCCGTGTCGGTGAAGCAAAAAGACTCTTGAGACTCAGTCCTGGTGGACATAGGGGCCAGTTCTTATAGGCCAGCTGCCAGGCTGTCTCGACATGGTAAGGTGTACTTTCGTGTATCTTGAAGTCGGCCCTTGCCCTGGTGATTTGGATATTGCCGTGACAGTGTCAGACAACTAAGAGCGAAATGTGTGCACCTCTTGGGAACATTTGGAGCACCCGGATACTATGTTGACAAAGCCAAACGGCAGCAATCCCTCTTGGTAAAGCTCCCAATGTAGGTAGGTAGGTACGTAAGTCATCAAGGTACAGTGAGAGACAGGACGCCGACGTAATGAACACTGGACTGAGCTGGACCTAATTACCTTGGAGGTAAGGTGGTTTGGCGTCGGGTGGAGATACTGAGGCGGACGTTCACATCCACGTCCACGCTTGCCTCCAGCCCAGGTGTAGTGCAAACAATCTGTTTGAACGAGGTAGGTAGGCACCGTGCCTGAAGTGCCTAGGTGGACATAGTAGCCACGCTCAAGGGATTCGTTTCCCGGTCTCCCGTCGTCTGCACTGGATTGAGGGGTCCAGCCCAGGTTGTGGTCAGGTAGGTAGCTTCCAGTTCCCTCCCTTGTAGGACTTATTTTGTGGTTTCCGAACATCTTATCAGTGATGAGGACCTAAGGCAGGTAATGGAAGACACCCTAGGGCAGCTACCTTTAAGTACCTACCTACCTCCTAAGGTACCTGTACCATTCGCTGGCGGCTGCCCAGGTGCCTCGCCTTGTGCAACCACAGTACGGACACTGCGGCGTTGTACCTTGCCTTGCCGGACCATCATCGCACGGAGTCAGCTCGGAATACGCTAACCCGCAAAACATTCTTTATTTTCAGTTTCCAAGTGCAACTCAGGCTTTCACACCAATTCAATAGGCGCTGCTCGTCCACGGCCGCAACAACTGCGTTGCGCCGCCTCTACGGACGTCCACCGTTCGACATCTATATCGCGATTCGCTCAAAGCCGAACATTCGGGTCCTTCGCGACACCTCACATCCATCTGCACTTGGCTAAGCTTCGCCGAGTCGACCACCGCATATCTACCGTTTTCTCGTTCCGCTGCCATGTGCCTCTTCTACTCGGCCTACAGTATCGTCTCTTGTCACTCGGTGTCCGGGTAGCTCGACGGATTCCTGTCTATTCTATTTTCGAAGTGCAAACACCAAAACCTGGCAGCGTGACGCTGAGCCTGAACCCGCATCAAACGTCATCATGGATCAAGATCCGGATCAAGGGCACCATCGTGCCTCCTCGACATCGAGAGCGAATGGCCATGCCCCCCTATACCGTCTCAACTCCAACCAGAGCAGCACGAGCATATTTGAGGAGGTTGAAATGGCCCATGATGAGGTAGGCTCCCTGGCAGCATCGCCACCAAACAGGCAAAAACTAAACTTCTTGCCTTTGCAGCTCTTCTCCGGACCAATGGCCGAGAGTCTTCCGACCAGCGTTTCTGCTTTCTCGCACCGCAGACCACGCGCCGATTCTACCACGAGCTTTGCTTACTACCAAGACGAAGATGATTTGGAGCCCTCCCCCACATTCGATGAAGAACGCCGAAGCATGTCCGACGTCGGTGATTTTGTCTTCGGCGAGGATGACGAGAGCAATCTTGATATAGAAAGTGGCGATGCAGATGATGATGACTACATGGCCCATCGCCGAAGGTCATCGACACATTCGCGGTCTTCCGTTCATGCTAGGCTGTTGCGCCGAGACAGTGCGACCACAAGCAAGAGCTTGGGTGGAGACGGTCGAATCAGTCAAAAGGTCTATATGGTCAACGAGGACCTCACGATCGTCATCGCAGGCTTTCGGACTAGTCGCTTGGGCTTTGTCGCTTATGGTCTCCTCTGCGTTTGTACTCTCGGCCTCTCATGGCTTTTGCTGAGATGGTTTCCTCGATGGCAAGTCAGGTTGTTGGGGCGTCCATCTCCATTGGCTGAATGCGACTGGGTGGTTGTCGAAGTAAGTCGTCCCAGGTCACTGATGGGCTCCATGTCTAACTCGACTAGAACCAATGGGGTGAGTTCGCTCTTATGGACGTGGATAAGAAACTCTACGGGAGACCAATGTCAACAATTTTCGGCTCTAGCGAGAAGGGCTTTATGATGGACGATGATTACGATCCCATCATTACCGAGCTTCGCATGCTCAACTACCGCTATGTTCGCCTATATTTCAATCAGCAAACAGACAAGTTCATCATGTTCAACGGATGGGTCGACCCCAATTGGACCGACCCTCGAGCTGTCAGGGTTGGCATAGATAGCGACGAAAAAGGACTCCGGGAGGTTGTATTCGGTAACAACCTCATCGACATCGAGCAGAAGTCCATACCACGTCTTCTTGTGGACGAGGTGCGTAATGTCGGCTTTGACGTGCCATGATACTGACACGCTTAGGTGTTCCATCCGTTCTATGTCTTTCAGATAGCCAGCTTGATTCTTTGGTCACTGGACGAGTACTACTACTACGCTGTCGCCATATTCTTGATGTCATTTGGTAGTATCACGACAACTCTCATCGAGACCCGGGCGGTAAGCTCCCCATACCATGCATTGATGCGTTCCATGGCTCACTGGCACAGACCATGAAGCGCCTTCGGGAGATTTCGCGCTTTGAATGTGACGTCAGAGTGCTTCGGAACGGATTCTGTGAGTGCTGTGCCAGAATATTTTACTTTAGCTAGGCTGACGATCCACGAGGGCGCTTCGTGCCTTCAAGCGAACTTGTGCCCGGTGATATCTATGAGGTCAGCGATCCGAACCTGACCCAGTTTCCCAGTGATGGCTTGTTGTTGAGCGGTGACTGCATTGTCAATGAGAGCATGCTTACCGGTAAGTCCATTGCGCATTCTTTAGCCTGCTAAATGACTGACAATGTTTGCTAGGCGAGTCTGTCCCTGTGTCGAAAACGCCTGCCACGGATGATACTATGCATAAGTTGGATTTGGCTGCGCCGACAGTCTCGCCAGAGATCGCGAAACACTTTTTATTCTGCGGGACCAAGATTGTCCGCGCTCGTCGACCACAAGAGGATCGAGATGGCGACGCTGTGGCCCTTGCCCTGGTTGTCAGAACAGGATTCAGTACCACGAAGGGCTCTCTGGTGCGATCCATGCTATTCCCCAAACCATCAGGCTTCAAGTTCTATCGGGATTCCTTCCGGTATATAAGCGTTATGGCTGTGGTGGCTATGCTCGGCTTTATTGCATCGCTTGTCAACTTCCTGCGGTTGCAGTTGGCTTGGCATCTAATCATCGTGCGCGCCCTTGATTTGATAACGATCGTGGTGCCCCCTGCTTTGCCGGCCACTCTTACAATTGGCACCAATTTTGCAATTAACAGACTCAAGAAGAAACAGATATTCTGTATCAGTCCGCAGCGAGTCAATGTGGGGGGGAAGTTGGATATCATGTGTTTCGACAAAACCGGAACCTTGACAGAAGACGGGCTGGACATTCTCGGTGTGCGTGTGGCATCGCCTGCGACCGGCAAGTTTACAGACGTGTTATCGGACCCATCGACTCTCGTGCCAAGTCGCAACCACCGAAGTAGAGATGCTGCCCAAGATTCGAAGCTTAAGGCCGCTCTTTTCACAATGGCGACCTGTCACTCTCTAAGGGTCGTAGATGACGAATTGGTTGGGGATCCACTTGATCTGAAGATGTTCGAATTTACTCGGTGGTCTTTCGAAGAGGGCAAGCAAAGCCTGAATGAAGCGGACGATCAGGACCAGGGAAGCCTCGCACCATCTGTCGCTAGACCGCCTGAGGAGTACTCTGATACTCTACGAGATCAAAACGGAAATAACCACTCGGTATGTTATCATGGGTGTCGTTTGAGCAAAGCGGGGCTGACCTCCACAAACAGCCACCTCTTGAACTTGGAGTCCTCAGATCTTTTGAATTTGTTTCGCAGCTTCGAAGAGCGAGCGTGATTGTCAGGCAGTTTGGAAAGCCAAGTGGAGACATCTACGTCAAAGGCGCCCCTGAGTGCATGCGGGAGATTTGCCGAGAGGATAGCTGTAAGTGGATTGCCGATGACAATTGCAATTATTGACCGTCTGGTTACTGATGCGTGATGCAACAGTTCCTGTCGACTACGACGAACAACTTGCAAACTACACGCATAAGGGATATCGTGTCATCGGGTGTGCAAACCGCCACATCCCCAAAATGAGTTGGGTCAAGGCACAGAAAATGAAGAGACACGAGGCAGAGTCAGACTTGGAGTTTACCGGCTTCATCATTTTCGAAAACAAGCTGAAACCGACCACTGCGTCGGTGTTGACGGAACTT